TGGCACGGGATTGTTACGTCAGACACCGTGCAATAACTATAATTTATTTGAAATCAACTGTTGATTTTGAATTAGGTGAATTCTGACAGCTATTTTTAAGTGCTTTCGAATAGTTAATATATTTGATAAATTAAATAGAGAAATGCATATACTATATTCATCATACCGATATATAGACAACTAATCGATTAGCAAAACTAATCGATTAATTATTAGTTAATCGATTTGGTCAATTGATAGTCAATTCAATTCAATCGATTAATCGATTTTCGATTCATATCACTACTGTACTGTATATAAAATTAGTTTACTAACAAATTTAGCTTCCAATAGGATGTGTATTATTTATACGTAAATACGTACGTATAAATTTTTATTTGTTTCAGATCATGCGATACGAAATTTTGAATTTGGTGCCAAATTTGTTAGTTTTTTTTCACGGGCCCAAAGTTTTAAAAAAGTTCTTTAGAATTTAACGTTAATAGAACTTTTTCGCACTTTTATGGTTACACAAAATAGTGTCATTTGTGATTTCCTCAACACCATTTTTTTTTTAAAAAAAAACAAGTTGAAACTTGCAGATCTTAAATTTATTGGTTTAACTTCACGTGGAAGATACGTGCATTATAATCGTTATCTTTTTTTCCTGTTATTTTTTTTTTTACATTTCTCAATGGCATCAGAATTATTACCAGAGATATTAGAAAAAACATTAAATAATTTGTACGATTTTAATGGAGATTTTAATGAAATAGACATTGGTACCTTACGCTCATGTACTTTAGTGAACTGGCATTGGTGTAAAGTGACCACTCCTATTCTTTGGCGGGATACGTTTGTGTATATAAAAGATGTGTGCATACCTGTATACCTTTCATTCCTTGGTGAAGACGAAAAGATTAAACTAAGAGAATGTGGAATAACTATTGATCATTATCCTGAGGCTCTTTTCAATTATCCAAGTTTTTTAAAACATCTCGACATCGATCGACTACTTGATTCGATTGGTGAGTACGTCAATCCACCGGAAAAAAATATAAAAGAACCAATGGATGACTTAACTTTGAGCAGCTTAACAACTTTGAATAACATTAATCTGAGTGAAATAGATTTTAATGACGTAACGACTGTGAATAACTTAACAAATTTGTTAAATAATGTTCGTCAGTATACCAATCCACCGATAAGAAAGATGAATGAAAATATGAAAGGCACTGTGAATAAATTAGCAAATTTGTTGCTCAAAGTATTTATCGAGAATGGTACCACTTTAACTAAGTTGAGTATCATTACCTCCTTTTCCGGGTTTCCCCCGATCCGATCAGAAATATTTCATTTATTAGAGCAAAATGGTCAAATTTTCTCTCGTCTTCAAGAAATATTCATGTATACTGACTCTGGAAAATTTCCTAACGATCTTATTATGTTATTAAGATCTTTGGCAAAAGTTTCTACCAACATTCATACTTTAAAACTAAGGGAGATTCATCGATATGATAGGTCTACCATAAATTATGATCCACAAACACTTGATGTACTTGCAGATCTTATCAGATCGCAACGAAAGCTTAGAAAACTCGATATTAGCTATGAAAAATCGTTTAAAGGTGTCATTTCAGCTTTAAAAAGTCAAGAAAATTCTTTACAAGAGCTTATTTTGAGCGGTCAATATATTCCAGAATTTATGGTATTGAAAGATTGCGAAACGTTAGAAGTTCTTAGAATCAAAGATCGCGATGCTCTACCTATATTAAAGCAATTGGCTGATGGCCTTTGCAAACTCAGCACACTGGATATAGGCGATGGAAAACTTACTTCATCAGATATAATTCCGTTAATAAGAAATTCAGGTCAGATATTACAACGATTAAGAATCATTCCATCTGATGAAAACATTCCCTCGCAATCGTTATTATGGAAAACACTTATGGAATATTGCCCAAATCTCATTTATTTCTGTATTTGCTGTATCGAATTTTCTAATCAATTTGTGGAATTCATTGAAGGTTTGCAAAAATTGAAGTTTCTTACATTATTTTGTGCAAGTGTTGAATCAGAAGATGTTATGAGATCACGGGTTATAAGATTTGCAAATGTATTACCATCAACATTACAGTATTTTGAGTGGAGTCATCTTGAATGGAAAAGAGACTCATTCAGATCATACGCGAGTTCATCTATGTCATATATTGATGTTATACTCAATCATTGTGATGTACAATTAGAAAAGTTGATTTTTCATCATATTAATAAGGAAATAACCGATGCAGTAATTGCATATTGCAATAGAAAAAAAACCTTAAGATATTGTTGTCATATGAATGGTCCCCAAGAGGAGTGGTTAAGATTGGAAAAATATGTTCAAATGTTACCATATAAATACATAGCTGTTTATTGCTAATATGTTGTCTATATTCAACAAATCAAATTTATATATGAATAATTGGCAAACAATGTAATGCAAACGCTTATATTTACATTAATAAAATTTTTTACTATCTCTTGCTTTTTTTTATGGAAACTTTACTATGGACATTTTACTTAATTTGAATTTTCATGACGATCTTTCTTTTGGAAATCTAATTCTTTTTAGTTGTTTCGTTTGGTGTATATATGTTTTTAAAGGTATTGCTGTATGAATTTTAACGTATGAAGTTTTATAAAAACTGTCAAATCTAGTTATATCTAGTTCCTGACAGCCATTTCCCTTACAGATTACAGCCGTTTGCAAAAATTTGTGGATCACTATACTATGGAGAATTTTACGATATTTCCCTGAGTTTTCAAGACCTGCTCTAATCGAATTTTTAATTTTTACTAAGTAGAATTTTCACATTCTTCGATTTTCCACATGGGTATATGGAAATCGTTTTCCACATCTTTTTGAAAACAGCTGTAACCCTATGCGGTGTCATGAGCAGCCACCGTAAAATCTATAAATGTATTTAAAAACTTCTCGTAGTGGTAATCTATAAAAAAAGGTTTAAGTTCGTATTTATTAATTATTTCTACAATCACTCATGAGTCAGATCTTTTTTGTTAGATGTCCTAGGTGTGTTATAAGATCTAATTAAAAAATCGACTAAGCAGTTAAGCTCGATAAAAATTTATCGGTATCGGTATAGCCTAGCCAATAAATTTTTATCGACTAGGATCATATGGGCATAAACTCGGAGATAGTGAATTTATGTATAGGAATATTTCGATACAGCAAAAATTTTTGCATCACAAAAATTGTTTATAATAAGCCATTATACAGTAGCTGTTTTATTGATTTCTAGCGTGCTCCGTTCTGATATTAGTATTTTATATATAATTTTCATAGACTGAATTTTATTTCTGGTACAATGTATTTGGCTGTAACTGGCGGCGGCGACGGTTTAACATATAAATCTCATACTCCGGGAGCATTACATCAGTTCATGGACTTAGCTTAAAGCTTTGACTAGATTTGGTCCTCATAGATTTAAATAAAATTGATATTGAAATCGCATATTTTTATATTTCATCCATTGTTAGTAATTGCATTTTTCTCATTGATATTAGACGATGTTTCACATTAATAGCCCAAAACGATTTCTTAATGCCTGTAGGCAGTGTTGTCAAGGGACAGCTTTCGGCAGTAGTTTGGACAATTTTGGACAATTAAATAAAGTCAAATTACTTAAAATTT